TATGCTTCTTCTCCTACTTTGTCTAAAGCAATGAACTTAGATTCCATTGTGGATCATGCGTATGCATGTTTGTTTCATGGATTTCCAAGAAACAACAGCACCTCCCAGAGTAAAGACATATCCACTAGTGGATTTTGAATCTTTAGTATCCGATATCTAATTAGTATCACAATAACCTTCGAGTACTATTGGATCTCGAGTAAAGTTCAAACCATGATCATGGGTAAATCTTAGATATCTAAGAACCCGAATGATCGCTTTCCAATGATCTTCTCCGAAGTTACTAGTGTACCTACTCAATTTACTGACAGTATAAGCTATATCAGGACGAGTACAATTCATTAGGTACATTAGGCTTCCAATGATTTGGGAGTATTTTAACTGAGACACCGCATCACCTTTATTTTTCGATAAATAAAGACTGATGTCTACAGGTGTTTTAGCTACATTCATATCATCCTTGATAAATTTACCAAGAATTTTCTCAATATAATGTGATTGAGATAATGCATATCCGTTAGATGTTTTATTAATTTTCATTCCTAATATTACATCTGTGACCCCCATTTCTTTCATATCAAATATTTTGTTCAGCAATTACTTAATTGATTTGATCATGTTTTGACTGCTTCCAATGATAAGTATGTCATCCACATAAAGACAAACGATGACATAACCTTTGTCAGTGTTTTTAACATAGACGCACTTGTCACATCGTTTATCTTAAACCATTAGTAAGTATAACATGATCAAATTTTTCATGCCATTGCTTAGGTGCTTGTTTTAACCTACAAAATTAATGTCCTATCTGAATACCTACGTACGAGCTGAAGTCGTCTTACAAACTAATTACTTGTCACTAGCAATCTAAATTTGGCCCAATTCGGCCCAAGCCCAAGCTCAAGCTTGGGCTAGCCTATGTCGGGCCATGCGGGCTCCTGCCAAAATTTAAGCCGGACTAGGTTGACTCACGGGTCAAAAAGTTAGGCTCAGACCCAGGGGATATTTACCTTGGGCGAGCGACAGACCCAGCCTGAACTCTTTTTTTTTATTTTTTCTATTTGTTTTACCAAAATTTTATTCTTTTCCACTAAAAATGATGCTGGACTTTGGGATGGGCTTTGAGTGGGCCTTGAGCGGCCTGATGGACTGGTCCAGGCTGGGCCGAACTCCCAAGTCAGGGCAAGCTTCATAATGATGGCCCAGGCCCAGAGTCCCGGGCTAGGCTCGGGTCTAACCGGGTCGGGCCCACCCCAGACTACAGGCCATTTTTACACCCTTACCTGTCACCCACTATATTATAGGTACCTAATTGTCTATCACTCTTTTTAACTCTAATAATAAAATGTCTTAAGAGAATAAAAAATTAAAAATATTAAAGAATAAAATGATGATTTCTTGGTGCTTGTAAGATGGTTCTGCATTTTAATTATGCAAGAAACTCTATACCGTATTTTATACAAACCAAGAGTTCCATACCAATTCTAAAAGGAAAACTAAGAAGGTTCAATAGTTGTATAGGATTGTATTTTAAGGTGTCTTTATCTATTCTAATATGACTTTTGATCCATTTAAACACAAAATGCCATGTTCTAAGGTTTTGTGTTTTGGGGGGTTTGTTCGTGGGAGTAGCACGTGTTGACAAAAACATGTTCGTATTTGTCTATACGGCTGCAAATGAACCGAGCTGTTCATGAACAAGCTTGGCTTGGCTCGACTTGTTTAGTAAACGAGCTGAGCTCGAGCTCGGCTCGTCAAGTTCGTCTCGTTTATCTTTATTTAAATTATATAATAAATATATCGTCAAGCTCAACTCGTTTATTTTTATTTAAATTATATAATAAATATATTAAATAATATATAAATATGTATAAATAATAGTATAAATACATTATTTATATATTAAATAATATAAATAATATTTTTTATTTAAATAATATGTTGCATGCCTAACAACCTAACCCTATAATAATCTTCAGAATTCATCATAGGTTGGCGAGGGAGAGTGAATGAGGGTGGACAGGGGTTTGCATAATGGAGGAAGGAGGTGTAGGTATTAGAGTAAATTTATTTAGGTATTGGAGGGTAATTAGGTAATGTACATTATCTATTAATTCTATTAAGAGACAAACCTTGACAGGGGTATTTGAAATTTGTCAAATCATGAGAAAATTTGTACTCCTGATAAACCTTAGGGCTATATTTGTAATTTAACCCAAAAAAAAATGTTATATACACGGTTGAATTGTGTTGGGTCATACTTTTTAATGTAGAATATGAGCAATCTCTTTAGAAAAAGGCAATTGTTGCAGGTTTTGTCCGTCCTGTAGATTACTTGTGGCATGAATTGGAAAAGGACTCTCAATAATGCAGAATATGTTACGAGAATTACAAGAAGATAAATTGTGTTTATTTTAGGAGCTTGTAGATATTTGTTCATGTGATGTAATAGCCGTTTCTTGCTTTTTATACTTGAGAATGAATAAAATGGACTAATTATTTAAATTATCGATTGTGTTTTTACTAAACAAGTTGTGTGTTACATAATATGAGGTTGTTCAGAGTTATAACATTTGTTTTCCTTTTCTTCAATCATGCAGTGCCTTAGCGAGAAAGGAACGATGTGTGAATTAGATGTGTGATCTTGGTGTTGTTAAGGTCTTGTTTGGCATGTGTTTATTTTAGCCTAAAAGTCAAAAAATTACTAAAAAACCAACAAGTCTACAACCTATATAAAAAAATTCAAAAATTCTATTTTCTCTCTACTCTTTGCACATCTTTTCATAAAAAATCAAAATGTCATTCCAAACATTGCATGTTCCCAAACGAGAAAATTACTCAAATAACATGTTCCCAAACGAGATCTAAGATCTGGTTTGGGAAGAGAGTTGGGCTAAAATAGCCCACTAAAAGACAAAATAGACTAAAATAATCAATAAGACAAAATGTCACATTCAATCCATAATTATTTTACTTTTTCTCTTACAATGATCATATCAATTGCCAAAAAACAACAACAACAACAACAATTAACTTTCCAAATATAACTATTTTAGCCAAATTAAAATAGTTAAAAAGTCAAATAGTCAACTTTCCAAAAAGGCCTAAGAGAGTTGCAAACGTTTTAGGTTGATGATGGCTTGCTTGGTTATGTTTTAGGCATTTGTGAGGCTAACAAAAATAGCCAAATTTAGTGAAATCTAGATGCTAAATTGTTTTTAAGTTTTCTAGTAAAACATTTTATCATTTTAGCCTTGAGGGTGAAGGCAGCCTACTTGTAATCCAGTTCTCACTCTTGAGAGTCTGAGGTGTTGTTTGGCAATTGGGTTGGGTTAGTTTTTTGGTTAAATAGTCACAAAAAGACAAAATAAATTAAAAAATCAATAAGATAAAATGTCACGTCTAAATTATAATTATTTTATTTTTTTTCTCATAAAAGTAAAAAAAATCAACCCAAATGAACTTTTTGCCTGGGTTAAAATAGTTAAAAAATTAAAAAGTCAACCCAACTTCCAAAATGAAGCCTTGATCCATGACCCAATAGTTCTACATGTAAATTTCTATGTAATTTAGGGGTGTAAATGAGCCTAGTCAAATTGAGTAGTGAGTTGTTTAAATTTGATTTGAAAATTTAACGAGTTTCAAGAATGTTTTTTATCTTGGTTTATTTTTATCTTTCAAGCTGTCTCAAACAAGCTTCAATCGAGTTAAGCTCAAGTAGTTTAGTGTTTTATAGCCTATAATTTTATAATGTGTAAAATTATTGAGCCAAGTTCGAATCAAGCTCTAAAAATTAACAAAATTTAAAATGTGTTTAAACTTGACTTGTTTATTTCAAATAGCTTTTAACAAGTTAAACGCGAGATGAACTCAAATAACTTAGTTTGATTAACAACTATATGCAAGATTGTAAATTATTATTCTATCTTCTTTTCAAAGTTTATGTCTAAGGGTAGGGTATGCAAGAGATGAAGAGAACCATTTTTTTTTTTTCATTGATCACAGTTTATTTTATGAACATTTTTATGGGATACCCTCTCTTGGAAAGACTAATTATTTTTTATAGTACTTTGGAGGTTGTAGCATGGAGCGGAGGAGGATGGGATGGCAAAATCCCCTAACCAAAAAGATGGATTATATAGGGGATGCCAAACCACCCCTAAATGTTGTGATCTTGGTGTCATTAAGGTCTTGTTTGGCATGTGTTTATAAAAGTCAAAAAATTACTAAAAAACCAACAAGTCTACAACCTATATAAAAAAATTCAAAAATTCTATTTTTTCTCTACTCTTTGCACATCTTTTCATAAAAAATCAAAATGTCATTCCAAACATAGCATGTTCCCAAACGAGAAAATTACTCAAATAGCATGTTCCCAAACGAGATCTAAGATCTGGTTTGGGAAGAGAGTTGGGCTAAAATAGCCCACTAAAAGACAAAATAGACTAAAATAATCAATAAGACAAAATGTCACATTCAATCCATAATTATTTCACTTTTTATCTTGCAATCATCAAATCAATTATAAAAAAAAAACCAACAAACTTTCCAAATACAACCTTTTTAGCCGAGCTAAAATAACTAAAAAGCTAATTAAACAATTAAATTAGTCAACTTCCCAAACAAGGCATAACTCTTATTTCAATTTTTAAAGGAAGAGAATTTGGGCTCCATTAAATGTAGACCCAGTTATAAGCCCACATTTTTTCACACCCAAAACTTTTCCCTCCGTTTGGAATTCAAAATCCTCTGAAATTTTCCCATTCCCAATTAAGGCCAAGTTTAACTTCTACTAAATAATATAAAAAGTCAAAAAATTACTATCTTATTTTAATCACATCATCTTATTTAAATCACATCATTTTTCTAACACATCACATCAAATCCAATCCAACTCAATCCAAACCCAATCTATATAAGCCAATAAATTAAAAAAATACACTTTTTTTTTTTTTTAGACATCCCAAACCAACCCTCGTTCTCTTTCAATCCCTCCCTAACCAAAAATGCCTTCCAAACTCGAAGACAAAATCAAAACCCTCATAACAAACAATGGTCCTTGCAAGACTTCGAGATCGGAAAACCCCTCGGCAAAGGCAAATTCGGCCGCGTCTACCTCGCTCGCGAACTCAAGGTACATATCTACATCTCTCTATCTCTCTAGAGAGAGAGCCTGATTTGTAGAGAGAGAGTGTCTGATTTTGTGATTTGTTGATTTGAATTTGGGATTGTGATGTATATTGTGGTTGCAGAGCAAGTACATTGTGGCATTGAAGGTGATATTCAAGGAGCAGATAGAGAAGTACAGGTTGCATCACCAGCTGAAGAGAGAGATGGAGATCCAGACCAGTCTTCGCCATCCCAATGCCCTCAGGCTTTACAGTTGGTTCCATGATGATGAACGAATCTACATGATTTTGGAGTATGCTCACCGCGGTGAGCTCTATCGCGAGCTCCGAAAAACTGGTCATCGTACCGAGAAACAGGCCACCACTGTAATCCTCTCTCTCTCTCTCTCTCTCGCTATATATATACATATGATGTTGGTGTTGGGATCGGGGATCCCGCCCAAGACCTTCCAGAAATTATAGCAAGTAGAAAAACACACCCACACAGAAGGAGACACCATATTTAACAACTCCTTGCATTACCGTGCAACTCCTTGCATTACCGTGCAACTCCTTGCATTACCGTGCAACTCCTTGCATTACCGTGCAACTCCTTGCATTACCGTGCAACTCCTTGCATTACCGTGCAACTCCTTGCATTACCGTGCAACTCCTTGCATTACCGTGCAACTCCTTGCATTACCGTGCAACTCCTTGCATTACCGTGCAACTCCTTGCATTACCGTGCAACTCCTTGCATTACCGTGCAACTCCTTGCATTACCGTGCAACTCCTTGCATTACCGTGCAACTCCTTGCATTACCGTGCAACTCCTTGCATTACCGTGCAACTCCTTGCATTACCGTGCAACTCCTTGCATTACCGTGCAACTCCTTGCATTACCGTGCAACTCCTTGCATTACCGTGCAACTCCTTGCATTACCGTGCAACTCCTTGCATTACCGTGCAACTCCTTGCATTACCGTGCAACTCCTTGCATTACCGTGCAACTCCTTGCATTACCGTGCAACTCCTTGCATTACCGTGCAACTCCTTGCATTACCGTGCAACTCCTTGCATTACCGTGCAACTCCTTGCATTACCGTGCAACTCCTTGCATTACCGTGCAACTCCTTGCATTACCGTGCAACTCCTTGCATTACCGTGCAACTCCTTGCATTACCGTGCAACTCCTTGCATTACCGTGCAACTCCTTGCATTACCGTGCAACTCCTTGCATTACCGTGCAACTCCTTGCATTACCGTGCAACTCCTTGCATTACCGTGCAACTCCTTGCATTACCGTGCAACTCCTTGCATTACCGTGCAACTCCTTGCATTACCGTGCAACTCCTTGCATTACCGTGCAACTCCTTGCATGATGAACACTGGAGCAACTAGAAAACTTCAGAGTTTGACACATCAACATCCTCAAGTTTTCTTGCTCGGAGCTTATTTCTGAACAACCAGCCTTTGCTTTCTGCACTTCAGAACAACTTCCCAGCGATCTCATACGCCCGTTGTCTGTGCTGCAATCCCTGATGTTCGGTTCTGTCTCACTTGTCCGTACTGATGTTTGACAGTTAGCCCTTCTGCCAAGACAACTTCCACGGTCTGTACAAGTTACCACTATGCAACTCCGTGCATAGTGCTCGCACCTATGGCTTCTGGTCTCCCTGCGTCAAGCTTGCTTGAGAGATCTGCATCAACTCTATCATCTGCTGCCATGGAACTAAAGAAACCACCATAGAGAAATAAGACTTGCCACTCCTTGGCACGCACTCTTGCGTTTTACCTGTCTCAATTTCTCTGTCTGGAAGTTCCTGTGAACTGTCAACAACCCGCTGCTACACATTCTTCTCGCGCCTCTGTACGATACTCTAGCGTACTCTTGCACTGTTGCACGTCTGCAATTGTACTTCTGCGCTTAGTATGCTCCTCTGCAACTATTGTTCTACATGTCCACATACCATTAGTACCTACTCGTATACTGTAGCTCCAACAGCCACAGTATTTCCCTGAGCCTGTACTGGCTGCCAAATCATCTATCCGTCGATGAATGGTCTTCTCTTTTGATTGAACCAGATCCTCCGACGAACTCCGGAGATAATCATTTCTGCAATCCTCTGATTACTCCTGACCAATCTTGATCTCCCTCGATCTGCCATTTAATCAAGCCTGATCTCTTCTGGTCTTCAATGATCTATCTCAATCTGTATCTGGTTGTCCAATCTGGTCAGAATCTGTCCATTCTAACCTCTTCAGTGAATCCGCAGCGTTCCACAATATCCGGCAACCTTCCTTTGACTATTGAAGATGACAAACACCCATGTTTTGACAATCTTCCCAAACCGTTCATAATTTCACTATTCTGACCTCGCGGTTGCGTCCGGAGCGGTCCGTTTAGCTAGAACCAACCTTTGCTGCATTTCCGGGGACCTCACTGAAAACTATCCCCGAAAGCTGGACCACACCACAATTTTCTGAAAATTTTGGGCCAAATTGCAATTTTCAGAAGTTCAGGGAATATTCCGTGTATCAACGAAATATTCCGTCCACTGCCCTAACGCCGTCCGCCACTTTAATCTGCCTTCTTTTTACAGAAACTCCGTCTCCAGAATCTGACCGTACGGATGTGTCCGGAATACTCCAAATAGTTGGAAACCACTATTGAATCACCAAAAACGGACTCCAAATGGCTTCGATCTAGCCAAAACATTTTGTACGCCTCAGATCTGCGGCTGTACCTTCGCCGCAAAGCACTGGATCCTTCCTCATGCGGCTGCACCATTGCCGCGTAGCACTGGATCCCTCCCTTGACGCTGACGTGGCAGATGACATGGCACAATCATGCTGACGTGGCGATGACCTGGCTGCCACGCGTCGATGACCTGGCTGCTGACGGGGCTGCCACGTGGATGACACGTGGCGCTGATGATGACACGTCGCTGCTGACGTGGGCTCGCATGGCCTGCGCGTGCCGTACACGCGCCATCCCCCACTCGTCTTCTTCCTTGGTCCGCGCGTGTGGCGCGTGAGAGAGACTGGGACCACGCGCCGGTTGAGCTAACAGCGCGTGGTGGCGCGTGGCGAGACTGGTATTCACGCGCCAACTTCTTGGGGCGCGTGACGGCGCGTCCGGCCTCCGTTGGGTGTTTGCTTTATATTTCTGGACTCCTCTTCTCGAGCCCTTGCTCCTGGTATGCTCAAAACCTGATTTTGAGCAACTTGATTTCTGGGCAGTTTCAAACAAAACGCTGTTTTTGTTCCGAAACGCCACCAACGAGGCTCTGATACCACTTGTTGGGATCGGGGATCCCGCCCAAGACCTTCCAGAAATTATAGCAAGTAGAAAAACACACCCACACAGAAGGAGACACCATATTTAACCTGGTTCGGCCTTAAAGCCTACGTCCACGGGAGAGTAACCGGTTATCACTATAACAATGGAGAGATTACAGAAAGATTATAATAGGGGAGGAGCTCACACTCTCCTCACTCACCCACTCACCCGTCTCCCTCTCTCACACCGAGAGAGACGGTCTCTCCACCTCACATCTCTTACTCTCTTCTCTCTTGGTTCTCTCACATTGTCTACTCTCCTCTCAACCTCTATTTATACATATCATGAGGGAAGGTAGCTGGACAGCAATGGTGAGTGGATTGGTTAGTGGGGAGGTGCCACTCCCACTCTCTCTAAAGTGGTCTGATTTTGGAGTACGCTCACCGCGGTGAGCTCTATCGCGAGCTCCGAAAAACTGGTCATCGTACCGAGAAACAGGCCACCACTGTAATCCTCTCTCTCTCTCTCTCTCTCGCTATATATATACATATGATGTTGGTTCTCAAAGTATGCAGTGATTTTCATACTGGACTCTTATGTTTTAATTGTGTGAATTTGATCCATTACAGCATCTTCAATACCTTGTTTCTCTTATTTTATTTATTTTTATTAAATTTGAGTGAAAATTCGTTAAAAGCTTGATATGATATAGAACACTCCAATCGTTAATCTTATTGAAAAATTTTAAATTTGCCTCTTTAAGTCTATTTTAACCATTTCTGATGAAAGAAAACCATTTCCAATCTTTACTCCTTTTAAAATTTCATCAAATTTGAGTAAAAATGTAACTATTGGGAAATTGGTGAATGATTTGGTCCATTCTTGATTTGTAAATAGTTTCTGTCCCTTGATTTGATAGAGATTTAATGAAATGGTTGGAGCGCACTTTTAGCCATTTTTTCATCAAATTTGGATTTGATGAAGGATTTGAGATACTTGGAAATTTAGACAAAAATGCTTCTGTTATAAAATTTGGATGAAAATGGTGTTAACGACTATTTAAATACAAATTAGACATATTGGGGACTAAATTGACATAATTGAAAATTGGACCAAAATAACGCCTTGAATGTTTTAGTCACCAACAATGTATTCATATGTATATGTGAAATTTGGTATTTTCTCCCCTTTTCTCTTAAATTGTGATATTGCTTAATTTGGGTTTTGGGTTATTTTGTTTGGGATGCTTTTAGTTGCTGTTCTATTCAATTTTCAAATTAGAGTAGATTTTTTTTTTTTGTGTCTTTCAATTTCTCTTCTTTTTTATATTTAGGTTTCCGGGTGCAGAAATTTTAAACTTTTGTTTCTTTGTTGGGAAATTTTAGTACATTGCGAGCCTTGCACAAGCCTTGGCGTACTGTCACGAGAAGGATGTGATTCACAGGGATATCAAGCCAGAGAATTTGTTGCTTGATCATGAGGTATTCTGCAAAATCTTTTATAATCCCATTGTAATTTCATAAACTGGAATTGTATGTTTTTAGTTTGTTGAACTAACGTGATTCAATTCCAAAATGAAATATTCCCTAATAATACTACATTCGCAGAAAAAATGTACAAAAAAATTAATGTGTGGCTTCACGTAGGATGACTATATTCCCAATTGCGTTTTCATTTGTTTGGCCTTTCTGAAGATAATTCAGGTTTTTCTTAGAATCTTCAGCCAAGTTTTTCTAGACTTATCAATATGGTCTACTCTTTTCCACTTTTTGCATATTCATGGACAGAGTGGAACTGTAAATTTATTTTTACCTGATTTTGTGTGGAATTCAATATGGTCATATACTGAATCCAAAGTAGCCCTAACTTTTGCTTCAAATGGATTTTTAACCTTGATTGGATGTGCTTTTTGAGTGGTTTGTTTATCTAATTTCTTTTAACAACTCTCAATCGGAAGTTGTCACATGGGTAAGAAAGAACTGTTTTAGGCATCATTTCTACAATCCACTTTTCATTAAATTAGCATACAAGGCTAAAATTTTTCTCTCATCCTAGTGTGTTGAGCAATTTGGCTGAAGTGATTGAAACCTTAAATTGTCATATCTGCAGTTACACGAAGTCATGTTGATTTTAGTTTAGAACAAAGAATAAAGTTAATGTTCTATATTGATCAACTATTGCATTACAATGGCAGGGTCGTCTGAAGATTACAGGCTTTGGGTGGTCTGTACAATCCAAAAGCAAGAGACACACCATGTGTGGAACTCTGGATTATCTAGCCCCAGAAATGGTGGAGAACAAGGCGCACGACTATGTAGTTGATAATTGGACATTAGGTATCCTGTGTTATGAGTTTCTGTATGGTGTCCCTCCATTCGAGGCTGAGAGCCAAACTGATACATTCAGAAGGTAAGTAGCAAATTTTTTATTTTTATTTTTTTCCTTTGTGTGGTGTGTTTTGATCACATTGTCAGGCAGATAATGAAGTAACTTTTGTTAGAATTCCTACAATCAAATTACAAAAGCCCAACACTAATGATAAGAATCCAAATGAATAAACAATGAACAATAGAATAATGACACATAATCTTGAGCATATGAATTTGATAACAAAATATTATGTAAAAATGGAATACAGAAAATTTGGTTTATGAGTGATTGAGATGCGTGTAGTCACTCTATTTCTAAAGTTGTTTCTTCCCACGTGAATGCACAAGCAGAGATGGAGTGCAACAGCTCCAACATTAACCTAATTTGCTTAGAGCCTTTTTCGTCTAGTGTTCACATCCAACAAGAGGGATATGAGCGAGTTACGAACCAAATTGCTGGTAATATACAAAAATAAAGTGATCATAAGGTTCTTTGTATTTTTGCTATATATATGCTGCATAAAACTCTACATCTCTCTTTTGTAAAATCTCAACAAGAGCATGCACATGTAAACTATCTGCGTGTGCCCAACTTTTGTAGGAGCACGTGTGCATATAGGATGAGAAGTAACTTATGAAAAAAATGTAATTTGGTTTATGAGTGATTGAGATGCGTGTAGTCACTCTATTTCTAAAGTTGTTTCTTCCCACGTGAATGCACAAGCAGAGATGGAGTGCAACAGCTCCAACATTAACCTAATTTGCTTAGAGCCTTTTTCGTCTAGTGTTCACATCCAACAAGAGGGATATGAGCGAGTTACGAACCAAAATTGCTGGTAATATACAAAAATAAAGTGATCATAAGGTTCTTTGTATTTTTGCTATATATATGCCGCATAAAACTCTACATCTCTCTTTTGTAAAATCTCAACAAGAGCATGCACATGTAAACTATCTGCGTGTGCCCAACTTTTGTAGGAACATGTGTGCATACAGGATGAGAAGTAACTTATGAAAAAAATGTTAAAATTAAAATGAGAACTGTTATGTATTAATTTGTATAAATGAATAGTAATTATATACAATATTTAATGCGAGGATTAAATAATAATTATTTTATTTTTATTTGAATACAGGATTGTGAAGGTGGACCTGAGCTTCCCTTCCACCCCTCAAGTTTTTGCAGAAGCTAAAAATCTCATTAGCCGGGTAACTTTGTTTATCAGCATCTTGTAATTGTAATGTGAGTCTGAAACAATGGTTGCAGTGAAAGATTCAATTACTTTTCTACAAGTGTTTCCTGAAAAGTGTGCAGCTTCTTGTGAAGGATTCATCCAAAAGGCTCTTTCTTCAGAAGATAATGAAACTCCCCTGGATAATGAAGAATGCTGATCCAATGGATAAGTGCTCTAAATTGGATCTTTAGATCTGGTCTCAAGTCCATGACTCCAAGGAATCAGTACAGTTGAATTCTAAAGTATATTGTCGAAACAATGTGGTAGAACAGACACTACAGGTAATTTTGCAGCCTCCAACTCTAATCATGTTTTGTACTTCGCACAATGGCCAATATAGATTAACAGGTTGTGTTGAGTGTTACCCATTTAGTTTTTTGTATTATAGTCTTGTGTCATTTTGATTTAGTGTTGTGCTAATGTGTAATGGGTAAATTTCACTTTATACTCTCACACTTTAGCTCGAAGCCTACTTTAACCCTTGAACCTTTTCGTACTAATTTTTCTTTTCTTACAATCAGTAGGATAAGAATAGGAAAATAAAAAATTGCGTTCACAATTATAAGACTCAAATTTCCATGTGCTGTTAAAAACACTCGCAAAATTTCTCTTTCACAACTACCTCCCTCTTGATACATTTAGAAATCATGCTTCACTAATTTAGTTAGCGTATTTTTATGCTGATTTCCAAGATTAAATCTACTAAAAAAAAATCAAGAAATAAAAATAAAAAATCACTGTTTAGGCTATGCTTGGTAGGTCCTAAATAAATCAAATGAAACTTGTGACCCCATGGCCACTTCTAACTTCCTTGTATATAGCCACTGCTTTTTGCATAACTTTAGGTTTGTTTAGCTTCTCTGCTCTCTTAGATCCTGGTGGATGAGTTGCAGATAGTCCTCCTTCCTCACCACCACCGAGCCACCCATAAACTTTCGGGGCAACCCCATGGGTCATATCCAGCCAACGCCATTAACATCATCCCTATGTAGTCTACTTCGAATTCATTCCTACAACAACCAATAAAAATATAATAATTTAACCAAAAATTACTGACTCAAAATCTCTAAAAAATTTGGCATGTATTCAAACTACAATTCTGTACAAAAATTCTGTAAGTTTATCTTTTTTCTCACAATATTTGGTATCCCAAAGCATTCAACAATGGGAAACAAAACTAAACACATAGCTTAGGGAATCTCACAATCGAGAACGAAACCTCTAGGACAGAAAAAAAAATTAATTATCTTATCAATTTCAAGCTAAATGCCCATCAATGTGGCTTAAATTTTTTAAAATATCATTGCCGCATCATTTTGATCAATAATAATGTATAAAATTCTATAAGCATATCATTTTTCGTGCAACTAGTATTCATGGGCTCAATAGATTGTGAATTGCTAAATGACATGCCAACATAAACATGGCTAGAAAAGTAACAACTGTGATCAAATCATCCATATAATATAACTATAATGAGTAGTATTCAGAGAACATTTTTCAAATAGGTTAAGTGCATTCAATTCAAGCCCTAGAAGATTATGTATAGATGAATGAGTGATTCTATGGAACAGTGATACACACACTACAACAAACATTTCAACAATGGCAAACAAAATTAAACACATAATTTAGGGGATCATAGAATTGAGAACAATACCATTAGGAGAAGAAAGAAAACAATATTTCGTAGAATTCGTGAGCGAGTTTAGGATCTAGAGGTAAACAAATGAGTTGCAGTGCCAAAATCCAAACAAGGTCATTAGTGCTTGCTGAGCCATGCTATGTCCAACCTGATAAAAACACAAAAACAAAAAGTGGTTCAAAACAAAGTTTTTAAAGGCAAATGCGTACCTCGAGGCGTTTCACCTCTCATGAGGTCAGGAGTAAGCTTCAGGGCGTTGAGCCATAAGCATTTCAAATTTTAATATTTAGTGAATAAATTAAATATTTTAAAATAATAAAAAAATAAAAACAAAATTGAACATAAAGGTGTACATACTTTTCACCAAGGTTTTGAAACCCGGACCGGACCGGCCGGTTGAACCGATGACCGGATGGGGTTCCGGTCCGGTTAGTCCTCTTAAACCGGTCAAGTGCAAAAACCGGGGTATTTATTGAAAACCGGTGAAACCCTCGGTTATACCGATGAACCGGTTGATCCGGTCACGGGTTGATCGAACCGGAACGGTTTGCTTGTATATATATAAAAAAAAAAAATTTCAGATCTTATTTTATTTTTGTTTGTTGATCTTCATTCAGAGAGAGCAGCGGCTAGGGCTTCACTTCTTCACACAGGTATCTCTTCCTCTTTCAGCCGACCTGTCTCTCTATTTTTTTCCGCCATTAACGAATCAAATTGATGGATCTTTGATCTCTATTTTTTTCTTCACTTCTTCACACAGGTATCTCAAATTGAAGGAAGATTTTCAGATCTACTTCTATTTTTTTCCGCCACCCGATCTCAGCCTCCAGCCTCCCCAGGTATTATTTTGATGGATCTTTGATCTCTTTCTTTGTTTTTTAGAAATTTTGGGTCTACACTTGACAGAACCAAAATCAACACTTGAATCTCCGAAGGCTTTGTTTTTTTTTTTAGAGAGGAGAAGAAGAAGGCTTTGTTTTTACAAATCAACTTTTTATAAAAAAAAAAATCAACTTTTGATAAAAAAAAAAAAATTAATAATAAAACACTTGGGTCTACACTTGAAGAAGGCTCTGTTTAGGTTTAGAAATCAACTTTTGATAAAAAAAAATAATAATAATAAAACACTTGAAGAATGCTCTGTTTAGGAATTATGCACACTGTTGATGAATTATATATATATATATATATATAATTGTCTCTGAAGATGATTTAGATCAATATTATTTGTTTTTTGATTGTAGCTAGCTTGTATTGGTACGGAAGGATATTTAAGAATTTTTTTAAAAAAAAATCAAAATTTAATATTTAAATTATTAATTTATATTTAAAAAAAAATTATTTATGACGTAATTATGACGTCACGGTTCAATCCGGCTCAACCCACCGGTTGAACCGGTGCTCCGTCCACCCGCTCATTTTTTCGGTTCGTTCACCGGTCCGGTTTTTAAAACCTTGCTTTTCACCTTAAGGCCTTGAACATTTTACTACATAGAAGGAAGTTTTCCTTCATTGAAAGTGAAATTGATATTCTTAACTTTAGTGATTGAGCTTTTCACTTGATCATTAATTGTGTTTTTTCTTGATTGATTATTTACTTAATTTTCCTTGTAGAATATAGTTGCAAAAAGGGATTCTTTTTATTTTGTTATGTTTAAACAATCTAATAGATTAAGTTTAACAAAAGTCCAAAGCAACCTTTGCATGTGTGTACTCCTCACATGCTTATGCGCAAAAAGTGTACAAAGTGCACCTAAGGCGCATGTCTCAAATTGTGATGCACAAGACTTTGGGGAGTAATGCCTAGAAATCAAAGTTTTGATGTGTTTTACCTTAGCTTCGAGGCAAGCTGCAGGAAAGCCTTTTAAAACTCTGGTTCAAAATGTATCACCAAATCTGGTATATGTAGGCAGAATAAGACTAGAAGCTTAGGCTATTTGATTATATTTTCATTTTTTTTTCATTGTTTTTTTAATTTTGTTTTCCACTTTTCATTTTTCTTGTTTTCATAAACAAATCAATGAAAGGATTGAAAACATCCATTGTTTTCATGTTGTTTTCATTTTTTGTGCTAAAACAGATTTTGAAAACTTTAGGTGTTTTTTTTTTATAAAAAAGTTGGTTGTTTCTCAAGAACTAATTTTGTTGTTGGAAACAATTTACCAAACAGGTGTATGTATGTCTCAGAAAATGAAAACATATTTTGAAAATTTGAAAACAAAAGTTGATTGTTTTCAGCAAATTTTCCTGTATAACTGTTTCTACAACAATTCGCCAAATATTTTTATGTATACTTAGAATCTAATTATACAATATTTTTTTGGATAATTTTTTATTCATGAATTCTGTGTACATATTCGTACTCTTTTAAAATCTCTTTCAGTTGATTTTAAATTTAAAATAACATGTTAACATGACTCTTTCACAGTCATCGTTAATTATATAACAACAATGGTATGAATCCAAAAAATTTACCCAGATAAAATAATGTGTGGTTGTAATTTGTTTAAGTATAGGTTTTACTATACACTAATTGAATCTAGACCATGCATCACTTTTTGATATTAAATTCTTAACAAATTTTCATGATTCTTAGATTTTCTGATCATATAATTGAGAAGATTTAGGCTCTGTTTGGTTTAGATTTCAAAACATAGTTCCACCACTGATTTGAGTGTGGTATTTGGTTGCAGCTTTCAAATGATAATTCTACACTCATTTCTCAAAACTCATTTCAAACTATAATCATTACTTTTCAAAATTCATAACCAAACACACAATTCAAAACTCTTTTCAAAACTCAAAAATAACTTAATTTTTATTTTAAATATTGTATTTTATTTTATAGGAATATTTTTAATATTTTAATTTTCATAAAAATATTTTAATATTTTTGATATTTTAATTGTAAATATTTTGATTTTCGGAATATTTTTAATATTCTTAATATTTTAATTTTTGGAATATTTTTAATATTTTATTTTTTGGAATATTTTTAATATTTTAATTTTCTAAATAATTTTTAATGTTTATACAGGCCTAAAAAATGAATTGGCAGAAAAATTAATTGACATAGAAGTTATTTGAAAAAAAATTATTCAAAAAAAATTACTTAAAAACAATTAATTGAAAAAAAAATCATTTTTTTATTTGAGTATTTTAAAAATAGTTTGGTTATGACTGTTGATAAAAAATACGGATATCGAGTTATGAGTTGTGTGTTTGATTATCAATTATAGGTTGAATTAAGTTTTGAAAACTATTTTGAAAATTCATCACCAAATAAATTTTCTTATTTCATATGTCACATATGTCACATCAAACTTTCAAAACTCAATTCCACATACAATTTAAAACTCAATTCAACACTCTATTCAAAAATCATAACCAAACAAATTTTTTACACTCAAATCATAATTCTAGAATTCACAAACTCAAAATACAACTCATACTCTCAAATCATATTTACAAAACTTTACCAAACGCAACCCTAGATTTCATTGAAATTTACCTCACGAGCCAGAATAACTGCTAGCTCTGCATCAGATTGGAGACAATCAAGCAACCCTCCATACACCACAATCCTACCCTTAGGGATGTAATAAGCATTCTTAGTATAAGATGAATCCACCACCATCACTTCCCAATCCAATCCATCCAAGTGCTTTGTAGCAAATCTTCTTCCCAATTTTCCTGCCCTTTTCACACCACTTCATTACCCAATTTCTCCACTCTTACCCTTTTCCCTCAATTAGATCCAACAGAGTTGTGCTATTGTTGTCCTGATCCATCCATAGTCATAATCACCTCTGGGTTCTTACTCATGTACACGTTGACACTGCAATTCTCTTCAAGTCTCAACCCGTCATGCATCGCTTGAACTATCTCTCCTAATATAGATTGCACGCGAATGCTTTTCGCACTCGTGGGAGGTAATATGGACTTTTGGTAATCCTCCTTCATTTTCTTGAACATAAAACTCTCTTATCTTATTCTCCAGCATGTTACATGACAAAACAAAATGGTACTGCCTCGAATATGGAATTCTATCCAACCTACCAAAGATGATCGCAATTAAGACACAAGAACTGATGAGAACGATTCTAGGGTTTCAGACCCATTGTTGCCATGGAAGCTTGGAGAGCTCAACAAGGTACCGGTCAGCGGGAAACAAGGCTTTTTCTTAAGCCAAGTAGAAGTCTTGAATTTGTGTGTTTGGTTGATGAGAAAAACATGACAGATGAGAACACGCAAACCCTACTTACGTGTTTGATTAGATTGAAAGGACTTTTGTATGTTCTTGGGCTCTGCAACTTGAATCCACCATTGATAATCTTTTGAAGAAAAGCTTGATCATGAGATACAATCTTGTTGGAGCAGAGTGTTTGGGAATTGAGAAAAATAGGAAGCTTTGATCTCAAGTAAGAGAAATCCATGTTGTGATGTTTAATTGCTGCACAAACTAATAATGCAGTTGGTTAAGCTTCATCATTGGTGTCGTGTTTGGCAAGTTGGTTTGTGGCTAAAATAGCCACAAAAGACACAATAGGCTATTTTAGCCACAACAAACAAAACATCACATCCAACCCATAATCATTACACTATTCTCTGATGAAGTTCAAACTTAAAATATATTCAAACTCTGTTGTAAACAGGAGCCTTCTACATTAGGTATGACTTCGAGGATAGAAAAGAACTGATTAGTTAGATTAATAGAAAATCAATACAGAATGATATGATGAGCCTTAATCATATTTTGATCAACAATTCTGTACAAAAATTCTGTAAGTATACATTTTTTCTCACTATATTTGGTATCCCAAAGCATTCAACAATGGGAAACAAAATTAAACACAACTTAGGGAATCTCACAATTGATGAGTACAAAACCTAGGGAGAGAAAAGAATTGATTATCTTATCAATTTCAAGCTAAAAGCCCATCAATGTGGCTTAAATTTTCAAAAATATCATTGTGGCAACATTCTGATCAACAATTCAGTACAAAAATTCCTTGAGCATATCATTTTCCTTGTAACAGCTACATTACGTGCCCCATATAAACATGGCTAGAAAAAACAACTGTGATGAATCATCCATATAACTATGAGAAATATTCAGAGAACATTTTTCAAACACGTCAAGTGAATTGAAGTCAAGCCCTAGAAGATTATGTATGGATGAATGAGTGATTCTATGGAACAATGATACATACACTACACCAAACATTTCAACAATGGCAAACAAAATTAAACACATAATTTAGGGGATCATAGAATTGAGAACGATACCTCCAGGAGAAGAAAGAAAGCAATATTTTGGATAATTCGTGAGCGAGTTCAAGATTTAGAGGTAAACAAATGACCTGCAGTGCCACAATCCAAACAAGTGTCATTAGTGCATATCGAGCTATGCCATGTCCAAACTGATAAAAACACAAAAACAAAAGGTGGTTCAAAACAAAGTTTTTAAAGGTGAATGCGTACCTCGAGGCTTTTTACCCCTCATGAGGTGAGACGTAAGCCTTAGGGCGTTGAGCCGTTAGCATTTCAAATTTAAAATTTTAATATTTAGTGAATAAATTAAATATTTTAAAATAGTAACAATGGCAACAATGGCTCCAAAACCCTAGACTCGTTCTCGTTTGTTTATGTGTCTGGATAACAGTTAGCTTTGGTAGGTTGAGAGAATTCCATATTCAAGGAGGTACCATTTTGTTGTCATGTAACGTGTTGGAGAGAAAGATAGGAGAGTTCATGTTCAAGATCATAGAGGAGAATTACAAAAAGTCCATATTACCCCCCTTAAGCACGAAAAGCATTCATGTGCAATCTATATTATATTAGGAGAGATAGTTCAAGCAATGCATAATGGGTTGACACTTAAAAAGAATTGTAGTGTTAACATGTATGTGAGTGAGAATCTGGAGGTGATTATGGCTGTGGATGGGTCAGGACAGCGACAACACAACTCTAAGGTGAGAATGGAGAAATTGGGTAATGAAATGATGTCAAAAGGGTAGGAAAATTGGGAAGAAGATTTGCTACAAAGCACTTGGATGGATTGAATTGGGAGGTGATGGTGGTGGATTCATCTTATACTAAGAATGCTTATTATATCTGTAAGGGTAGGATTATGTTTATAGGGTTGCTTGATTGTCTCCAATCTAGTGCAGAGTTAGTAACTATTCTTGCTCATGAGGCAAATTTCAATATAGTAATACCACAGTATAGAAGTTTTATTTCAAATTTTTACCCAGAAACATCAATTTATGGTTTAAATTTATTCTACACTTATACCTCACACTATACTAATTCAATCTCCATCACAAATTTATTATTATGAGTAAAAATCCTCTCAATTATATGATTTACTCAGATTTCATGATACATTTTGAATCCTCTCATATAATTGAGATTCAAAAGTCTCTCAAAAAAGAGGTTCAAAATGAGGTTTGATTTACTCAACATACACTGGAACACGTAATGAAGCTTGTTTGGATTGTGGCACTACTGTTGCTCATTCTTTTACCTCTAGATCCTAAATTCACTCTAAAATTATACGAAATATAGTCTTCTTTCATCTCCTGGATATATTGTTCTCGATTCTATGATCCCTAAGCTACGTGTTTAATTTTGTTCACCATTGTTGAAATGCTTGGTGTGTTGTATGTTTCACTGTTCCATAGAATCACTATCCATACATAATCTTCTAGGGCTTGACTTCAATTCACTTGACGTGTTTGAAAAATGTTCTCTGAATATTTCTCATAGTTATATGGATGATTCATCAGTTCATTCTTTTACCTCTAGATCCTAAATTCACTCTAAAATTATACGAAATATAGTCTTCTTTCATCTCCTGGAGATATTGTTCTCGATTCTATGATCCCCTAAGCTACGTGTTTAATTTTGTTCACCATTGCTGAAATGCTTGGTGTGTTGTATGTATCACTGTTCCATAGAATCACTATCCATACATAATCTTCTAGGGCTTGACTTCAATTCACTTGACGTGTTTGAAAAATGTTCTCTGAATATTTCTCATAGTTATATGGATGATTCATCACAGTTGTTTTTTCTAGCCATGTTTATATGGGGCACGTAATGTAGCTGTTACAAGGAAAATGATATGCTCATGGAATTTTTGTACTGAATTGTTGATCAGAATGTTGCCACAATGATATTTTTGAAAATTTAAGCCACATTGATGGGCTTTTAGCTTGAAATTGATAAGATAATCAATTCTTTTCTCTCCCTAGGTTTTGTACTCATCAATTGTGAGATTCCCTAAGTTGTGTTTAATTTTGTTTCCCATTGTTGAATGCTTTGGGATACCAAATGTTGAAAGAAAAAAGATATATGCTCACGCAATTTTTAGAATTGTTGATTAGAATGATACAACAATGACATTTTAGAAAATTAAGTCACATTAATGGGCGTTTAGCTTGAAATTGATAAGATTAAGGCTCATCATATCATTTTGTGTTGATTTTCTATTAATCCAACTAATCAATTCTCTTCTCTCCCGGAAGTTGTACCCAGTGTAGAAGGCTCCCATTTACGACAGTTTGAGAAAGCGAACAATATTTGTCCACTGAAATTCATAAATATATGTTAAGTTTGAATAATTGCCATTTTTTTTTTAAATAGAAATTTTGACTTAGTAATTTTTATTTAAATTATTATATTTTTATTGGGTGTAGGATAGAATTTGAAGCAGACTACATAGGGTTAATGTTGATGGCATCAGCCGAGTACGACCCACGGGACGCCCAAAAGTTTATGAGGTGCGGCTTGGAGATTAGGAAAGAGGACTATCTGCAACTCATCCATCAGGTTTTAAGAGAGCATAGAAGCTGAACAAACCTTAAGTTATGCAAAAAGCAGTGGCTATATACAAGGAAGTTAGAAGTGGCCATGGGGTCACAAGTTTCATTTAATTGATTAACAATCACCAAAACAGTCTAAACAGTGCTTTTTTCTAGTGGATTTAATTTTGGAAATCAGCATAAAAATACACTCACTAAATTAGCGAAGCATGATTTCTAATTGTGTCAAGAGAGGGAGGTGGTTGTGAAAGAGAAGTTTTGCAAGTGTTTTAACAACACATGGAAATTTGAGTCTCATAATTGTGGACACAATTTTATTTTCCTATTCTTATCCTATTGATTGGCCTTTTAAAACTTTTTTTTAGGTCTAGACAAATAGACTTTTGCTGTGTGGTTTATTTAGCCAAAAAAAATATCTTTCCTAGCTATGCCAAATGGAATTTCTGTAGAGAAACTTTTCAAGGGCAATAAGATTATAGACATAAAACAAATTACACATAATAATTATAAAATATAAGTAAAAATGTTGTGAAGTCTTTAAGTTTTGAAACTCTTAACACAAATTTTCAAAATACATAAGTATGTATGTTATTCAATAATTGGTTATTACATTTTAAATGTAATCGATAATTAATTATTTAGTTCATATGGTAATAATTATCAAATCACTTTAATTTGGAAAGTAAATTAAAATTTTGAATTGCTATTAATTTCAAAACATATTTATTTTTGTTGATTTATTATCAATATGGTAATGTTTATATACATGTGGACATATATTACACTATTGGATTTTTGAATTCTTCATATTAAAAATATTTAGTTTAAAATTTTTTTAGAAATAAACTCTTGTTTTTAAAAATATTATGCATAAACGTAGACAATGTTTTTAATTTTTTGAGTTTATAAAAATATAAAAACACGTGTCATCTAATCATTGGTTTTTCCTATTATATTTATGATCTTTTTTTGCTAGCAATTAAACATATGCTTGAGTAATGTTAGGGATTATGAAAAAACGATCATGAAATACTTTATGAAAATTTTTCACTCTTAGATTACCCATACAATAAAATGTCACTCACTGATTAAATGATGAAAAATTTTCATGAAATATTTCATGATATTTTTTTCATGATTCTTAATATTTCTTTTTACAATTTAATTTATAAACTCATGTTATAAATTTTATAAATTGAAGATATTTATAAAAAATCATCTTTCGAATGAAGCAAATATCATAGCATGAAATGAGACTTATGCATACGTTTATTAACATTAAATTAAACTATAATTCATTCTTAAATTTTAAGAAGTTTCAAAATTACCATGAAACAGTCAAATTAAACTCATTGATAAAAATTTAAAATAATATCTTTTAATTAGTCTAGCTTCTCCTACCTGATTCAACACATGAGCTACATACATTCAAAAAATTGATTTATTTATGAAAATTGCAAAGATATTTGAAATAATATACTATAAAATCAAAATTAAGATATCAAGATTCTGAAAAATATTACAATTGCTAGCCATGAGCTCACACCACTCATAATAAATATAATTTTTAACAATATATATATATATATATATTTTTAATTCTTAAAAGGGTTTCACAGGCAGTTGATCTTTTAGTTATAGTTGCTATGATACATTTCTTTTTTCATAGAGGAGAAAATGGAGAACTTTATGTCGGGTTCCGTCGTGCAACAACACGACAAACCAATATATCAGCATCTGTCCTATCCGGTCACAGCATGCAACATGGCATACTTGCCAGTGCCTTCCATGCCATTTCCACCGGAACAATGTTTACTGTGTATTACCGTCCATGGTAAGCTGATACTCAATTATGGGCATATAAGTGATATCAATCTCGAACCAAAAGCTGACCTACACATTGTCTGCAGGACAAGTCCTGTTGAATTTATAATCCCTCATGATCGATACATCAAATCCACCACTGAATATCAGTGTTCAGTAGGAACAAGATTCAGAATGCTGTTTGAAGGCGAAGATTGTGCCGAACAAAAGTGCTGCAGGTAAGTATTTGTGGGGTATTTGTCTTTCACAATAATAGATTTTGCCTCCCATTCTTGCTTATCCGAGTCATGGAATAGGATATTGATGTTAATGTCATTAAAACATTTTAGAACAATGAGCAGCAATAGTCAGGGACAACGTTAGCATGCTTTGATAAGTTAGTGCTACAATGGCAATAGATTTTTACATTTCTTGTTTCTTCTTCTATTAGCTGAATATAAGTTTATTAACCAGATTTTCAGGGACTATAGTTGGCATTGATAATATTGACCGCCTTAGGTGGCCTGGTTCAGAGTGGAGATGTCTCCAGGTAAATGCATTCATGGTGTTTATAAATGTCCTAGCAACATATTGCTATGTATACACACGAGTATGCAGTCGTTTACATATTCTTCCTTTTTAGGTGCAATGGGATTCCCCGTCTCATGACCCTTTTTGCCCTCAAAGGATTTCTCCTTGGAGCATCGAACCCATGGTGGAGAAGTACACTTCCCTTCTTCCACATCAAAAGAGGGCATGCCCTTTGGACCCATCAACTCTTCAGTTTCCTGTTGGTAAGCAGTTAATGATAACTCGAGCTTTATTGTTTATATCATCCTCTGCTATACAAATGATCAAATTCTTTTTCCCCAAATCCCAAGGCTCATTGCAGGGTTCAGTTGAGCATAAATTGAAAAGACATTCAGGGGTCTTGCAAGGTCAAGAAATCAGAGCCATAGGTGCTCGTGAACAGGGCTCATTAGGGAAGCCCATTTTATCCCCTTTATTTCCCCAACCAAATCCTATTTGGCACCACCGGCAAGTTGGATATGAACCGTTTTGTCACTCTCATGCCAACACAATTTCAATTCCTAGTGGAAATCCTCCTAGTCCGACGCTTGCTTACCGGCCTCCAACATTTACTTTCCCACAAACCAAGACCACTGAGGTGAGTACAAGCTTCTCTATCCCAAAAGTCAAGTCTACTAGTTCTGCGCATCAAGACTGGAATGAAGAGAAGAAGGATGAGATTAAAGCTCCAATGGGCAAACCAAACGGCAGTGACAAATACATGCTTTTTGGAGTTAATATATTTAGTCGTCCTCTGGAGCTCCATTCACAGCAAGTTGTCTCTTCAGTGGTCTCCCAGTCTGGCATTTCTGAAACTATTCAAGTCTCCGAGCCATCTAAGAGTGTTTCAGGCTGCCTTCCAGAGAAACAATGCGAGAACTGTTGTCCCATTGCTAACCGGAGTTGCACAAAGGTAGTTTCTCTTTAATCTATTCAGCTAAAGCTGTGTTTGGATTATAGATTTGGAAAGGGAAGAGAAAAGGCGAATTCCCGACGAAAACTCCGACAAAATCTCCCCTTCAAATTCGGTTTCCAAAATGTATCAGTTAAGTCAACCATATAATATTCAAACAAATTTACGTTATAAAGGGAGGGTAATTTAGGTACTTTATAACCTAAAATAAATTTGAGGGACCTTAGCCATCAAAACATATTATAAAGGACCTCTCCTCATATCAAAAGTAGAGGAGGGACCTTAGGCCAATTTTCCCTAATTTTTTCCAACCAAAATACTTCTATATATACCCAAAATGTATTTGTTGGGAGAGGGACGCTCCTCTTCTAACTTGCATTATGTACGCGGTGCGGAGCATGGGCACAATTCTTTTGTTAGAAATGGTAGGTGAAGATTTGAATTTATAGGCCAAAGGTCACTTTCGATGAATAGTGTTTTATTGATTTTTTTTTCCAAACTTAACGAATTTCAAATGTTATACAGTAACTTAAATAGTAACTTTTCTATTAAAAAATAAATGATACATAGTAAAATCTATTTAAATAATATTTATAACAAATACATCATACAACATATATTTAACAGATAATATTTTGTGTCAAAGAATATAAAATATATATATTAAAAAATCACAATTTATCCCATAATATTTTAAATATTATCAAAATCAAATCATATGATTAACAAGGTTTTTAGATTTTTTTTAAAAAAAATTATGAAAGGTTTAAATTTAAGAAAAAAAAATTAAAACCCATGCATGAACTTATAAAAATTAAGAAATAAATATGTACACGAGTTTTAATTTAATGAATTTGTTAGTAATGTGTTTACAAATTAAAATTTATTCTTATTAATCTCATTCCCAAATATAAATTATAGCACAATATGATTTTACTATAAATAACAAAGAAATTAAATTTCATAAATTTTACTTTATTTACTTTAATGTAATGTAATGTAATTTTAATTAACATAATTGTTTTTGTATAATTGATGAGATAAATACATAGTTTTGGATTAGATTAATATTTTTAAATTTATCAATTTCATTAGTTAACATTATGTCTAACACATATATTTTACAACAACTTAAACTATTATACTATTTTTCTTGTGATTAAATAAATAAAAATTACTTTCTTCATATATAAAATTGAGTTTATATTTAATAATGCATTTATTTTTAAAGCCAATAAAAGGTATACAATATCTTTACCATAGTATAATATCATGAATAAGCTTAACTTAAGTAAATATGTGATGAGGTAAAAATATTCAATCAAAATTTAGTTATGAATACACACTTCACTACATTTTTCGTATTGCAAACATTTTTCATAATTGAAAAAACAAAAATTTCAGGTTGATTAGACTTGAATATATTTAATAAAATAAATAAATAAACTCAAGTAGTGGATTAATAATGCTATTTTTTATAATTTGTAATTAGTAGTATAGGTGATGTGATAGCAATTGTACTTAGTGTTCCCCCTCCCCCCAAAAAAAAAAAAAAAAAAAAAAGAAAGTTCGGTTAATAATATAGATTTGATTAGAGCAAAGTGCTCTGGTTTCTCTCTAATTTATCCCCAAATTGGGGATTTCCTCACTCTCTTGATTTGAATCTGATTCCAACTATTGGTTTTATGACAAAGTTAACTTTCCAATGCAAAATGAGATTAAAACTCTAAAATCATGTTTGTTTGTATAGACATGAACTTGAGATTGGATTAATAGTCCAATAAAATTATTAATCTGATGTTTGGTTAAACAATTGAAGTATGGACTAACAATCCATCCTGATATAGTATTCCAAATATGATGGACTATTCAATCCCACGGAGGAGAGTGAGATATAAATTAGAAGATTAAACTAAAGTCTGGACTATTAGTCTCTCTTTATAATCTTAACTCAATCTGAACATAGAATAGAATACACAATCCAAAGGGATTCGTAGTCCTAGAACTATTAGTCATGAGAATGCTAATTCAACCTAATCTAGTCTGCCCAAACAAACATGGCCTAAGTGAAAGTCTCTCATTCCCACACCCTCATATGATTCTAAGAGTTAAAAAAACCTAAGGGCCAATAATATTTAAAATTTATTATTTTCCCATGAACAATTCCTAACTAAACTAGACACTTTGAAAACTATTGACATTTGGAAAAATTCTTCTCCCTCGGTAGATTGAGAACTAAGAGATATAAGATTTGAAATACTATTTTTTTTTTTCTTTCTCTTTTTCTACTTTTTGATCAACCAAACAGAGCATAAGCCTGTACTCATAATCCTAATTCAATGGGTGGTTTATTTTGAGTGGAAATATAATATATGTATTCACTTAAATTGGTTAGAAAATATATCTTTCAGTATTTCCTCAATCATAGAACACGGAGTAATTAACTCAATGAAATAAAAGCCATGAATCTTTTTTCCCACATGGAACAATAACCTCAATTGTATTCAAAACACTATCTTCCCTATATTTCTCTCCGTAAATAAAATCACCTTATATTAAAGGAAAATACTTTCCAACATGTCCTGCAATACCATGACCTTCAATAAACTATCTACAAAAACATAAATTCAACTCTGATCCATCTATTGCATAAAGATGTTTGTGTATGGATTGTTTTTTGGGTAAGTAGTGTATGGATTGTTGACATGCTGCAAAAGCTAATGTCACATTCAACATTCTATTTATTCACAAAATGAAAAATTCAATAACAACAATTCAAACCACAAACTAATTGTATCAGCAACCATACTATAGCCCTATTTGGTAGGGCTTATTTTTAACTTATTTCAACTTTTAGCTTAATTTAAGCTATTTTAATATGTTTGGTTCAGTTTAATAATACAGCTTATAGCTTTTTGTAAGTCAAAAATCAACTTATTCTTTGAGTGGGGGAGGAGAAGCTTAATTTATAAGTAAAAAATCAACTTATGTTCACAGTTATAAGGTATAAGCTGTTAGACTATAAATTATAATCACTTTCCCACAGCTCTACCAAACGGGGCCATATATGGTGTGTGAATCACCCGACTATACAATTATTTAAAGTTACTAATCAAATCTCCCACCAATAATCATTACCTATTAATATTTTCTAGCACTGAAAAAAGCATAAACACATTTTAACTTTTGTTCCCTTTTGTTTATATGTACTAATATTATCGAATCTACCAAGGTCTGGTCCCTATCGCTATTCGAAGAACCAATAATCAAATTGCAAATTACGAATATTAGATTGCTAGTAGAACCAAGAAGCGAAAAAACAAATAGACAATTACGAAAATGAAGATACTACCTAAAAGAAAATCAACAATAAACTATTAACACTTCAACTTTCAAGATAACAGTGGCATACATCAAACCGCTCGGAATTTCCTCACGATTCCAACGACACCAAGCCCGTTCTCAGAACACCCTCCACGCGCCCACACGCGCCGCCTTTGTCTTCTACGCGTCACCACCTCCGCCACCACTCTCACACGCGCCCGCACGCGCCATCTGTTGCTACTCACTTCCGCTACGCGCCCCTACGCGCCCACACAACCGCGACTGACGTCAGCCCTGCCACTCCCGTACGCCGTGCCTGCTACTGTGCGCCTTTCGTGCGCCGCTTCACTACAGTGCACCCGCATGCGCCAAAACGGCTACCGTGCGCCGCGCCTGCGCCTGTCCGCTACCGTGCGCCGCCGCCTTCCTGCTAACGTGCTCCTCCCTGCACTCTACTAACGTGCGCCGCTGACATCATTACTGACATCATCTCTGTCCAGCATACCTTTCCTGGCTATTTTCGACCTTCCGGACTCACTGGTACACTCTATTTTACCCAATTTTGCTCCTACAGGTCTATTCTTATTGCTTTAACCCTACTCAACTAGTATTATGGATCGTCCTGATGCCTCCCATCTCATTTCCGTTATTTTGAATGGTTCAAACTATGTTCTATGGGCCCAAGCCATGTCTTCCTTCCTCGAAGGCAAGAAGCTCTGGCGAATTGTCACCGGGGATGTGACTAAACCGGTAAAAGACAATGTCACTACTGAAACTACTGCTCATACTGCTACATATGAAGACCGACTTGAGGAATGGGACAGTAAGAATTACCAAATCATTACCTGGTTTCGTAATACCTCTATTACCTCTATCAGTGTTCAGTTTGGTCGCTTTCAGCTTGACTCTGTAAATACTCCTGCCAAAGACATATGGAATTTTTTGAAAGAACGATACCAGACTACTGGTCTTGCCCATCAATATCAACTTCAGAACCAACTTCACTGCATGCGCCAAGAATCCACTCAGTCCATTAATGACTTCCTTTCTCAAATATACTCTGTTTGGGATCAGCTTGCTCTTTCAGAACCAACTTGGCATACCCCCGAAGATGCTGTTTTATTTACTATCTATCGCAATGGTGCACTTTCTCATGGAGACGATATATACTTAAATCGCTTAGCAGTACACATCCCAGCTAAAAAGGTGCCACTCATACAAGCAGGAACCCACCTCTTAGGATTTCGATAGAGTGATTAAAGCTATTCATCATTCCTGAGCTCTAATTTATCAACCATTTTCCACCATTTCTTTTCAAACTCTTCATTTGTCCAAGATTGGTAAATGCATTTGTTAAATTTCAACATAAAATTTTCAGACCTGTTCACTATATGACTTAGATTTTCAGGAATTTTTCTCAACACATGCCACAAATAAAAACAATGGCGTGTATCAGGAAACACCTATGTAATAACTTTTTATAACTGAGAAATAATTTTTTTGGTTTTCATTAGCAATATATATATATATATCAACAAAGATTGAGAAGACCCATTTTTTTGAGGACCCCACAACTCCATAGGATCTCAACCTTTAGAACTTTGAACATGAGAGTACATGATGAGTACCACACAAATATATCAATAAAAGATCCAAAAGAAATATAGCATTTCATCAAGGCATGTTTGAAATAAAGTAGCAAACAGCTTCTACCAAAAACAAAGTAAACAGTCAAGGGTAAAAAAGAAGGGAAAAAAAAAAAAAACATAACCAACTTTCTTATAGGAATTTTAGCGAATACCAGGCATGCTCCGATTGATTGGGTCAACGAAATTAAGAATCACGCTCTCCAAAACCTTACTAAAGAAAAAGGAACAAATGAAGTACACACCAGAGAGGAGAAAGATAAATCAAAAGGTTTTACCCTGAATAGAAGCTCTGTCACAATTGATGGAAGAGGGGTTTCGCACGCGAATGATTGAAAACGAATTCATGAGCCACTGTCAGGAGTATGTAGAAAATGAATTCCAAACTGTAAGCATACCAGTGTATATATATATATTCACCACCAAAACGGAAGCTGTCGAGAGCACAAATGGAAGCCCTGGGTTAGCTTCATTAGCGGTTCACTGACATGTATGTCAACTACCAGCACCGAGTCACCGCTTTCGTTTGTAGCACAAAATTTTTGGAGAAGCCATTGAGCTAGCAAACAAACGGAAGCCAAGCGCTTCAATTTGTCCGTTGTAAAGCATTAGGAAGCAAGTAGGAGCAACAACGTTGGGAAGCAAGCAAGAGTGTTAGATTCCAGTTCACCTACCATGAATCCGTGATGGCCTTGAGTAGAGTGGATGGCGGTGGACGTGCAGTTCTCTGTATTTATTCTTCTACTGATGAGGATGAGTCGTTTACGTAGCACACCATCGATGCTACCAGTTGTTTTTTGTGAGACCACGTGGCCGATAGATTGCAAGCCCATACCATATGGCTTCAGATTTGCATCAATGGTCACGGGCGGTGGGTGAACCCAGGTAATTTGAGAGAGTTTTGAGGATACTGAAGTCATATACGAAGCGTTAGATTCACAAATTTTGTTAGGATCAAACACACCCAGAGAATTATCTCACACACACAGAGAACACAATATTTACGTGGTTCGGCCCAATGCCTACATCCACGGACAGAAATGAGAATTATCACTAAAATGGAGCAAAAATACAAATACAGAGGAGGAGATAAAACTCACTCAACTCACAGCTCTCACACTCAATTTCTGATCTCTCTTGGTTCTCACTCTCTCTCTGTGTCCATTTCAACTCTCCCCTCAACCTCTATTTATACACCAATGAGGGAGAGCCTCATTGGTCACCACCTACCCTCTTCCACTCTCTAGTGGGGTTGGTAGAGTGGGAGAGCCACTTCCATTGGGTGGAGAAAGTGGGCTCTCCAATAGGAGCTCACATGG